GGGGGGGGGAGGGGGGGTTATGCTTTCATGAAATTTTACAAGATAATAGTTTTCATGTTTCTTTGCAAACAGGAAAACAAAAAGAAAATTGAAGAAAAAACAGGTCTGGTACATGCTTTCATGGAATCATACAAATTAAAAATTCTGCTTCTTTCTTCGAGAAATAGTACACAATGTGTAAACATAAACTCCAACGAATTAACAAAAGAGAAAAAGTAGTCCAAACTTAACCATCAACTCATGTTGAAGCAAATCATGGGTGCAAAATCATTCGACTATTTTTTATTTCTAGACATGGATTCAAAACTTTGCCACTTCCGATATGATAAAAGCAATAGTGTTACATTTCGTTTTGCAACAGCAAAGAAAATGTCGAATGAGTAGTGTACTTCAGGGAAGCAAGAAATGGAAGCCCTTCCAAAAGTTGACCAGGAATCTAGGACCATACCGACATAATATAGTTGGATTCTCAAATTAAGAATATTTCCTTTTGGAGGCTGGTCTTCACCTTCAAATAAAGAGGATGAAAGTTTTATGCATGTTTGGATAAAATTTGGTTAAAATTGAAAAATGAGTGCTTCAAGTTGAAGTTCAAGAAGAGCATTTGAAAGTTGAATCAACTGTGTTCGGACATGAATTTCAATTGAAAAAATAGTTAAAGTTTTGAGAGTTAATTATTTCTTGAAATACTACTACAAAAGTCTTCAACTTCAAATTCTCTATTTCAAGTTGAGGTTGAAATAGTGGACTAAAACTGTAAAATAGAAATCCATTTGTAAATAACATTTCAATATTGCAAATAATATTTGGTTGGGAAGGGGAGCCTTGGCGTAACTGGTAAAGTTGCTGCCATGTGACCAGGAGGTCACGGGTTCAAGCCGTGGAAGCAGCCTCTTGCAGAAAATGTAGGGTAAGGCTGCGTACAATAGACCCTTGTGGTCCGGCCCTTCCCCGGACCTCGCGCATAGCGGGAGCTTAGTGCACCGGGCTACCTTTTTAAATAATATTTGGTTGAGTCACGTCCGAATGCCTACTAAACTTGCTTCATATAATTTATCATACTTGTTCAGCATGACCATTTTGCAGAAAGGCCTATAATAGCATCCACAATGACATGAGTTGATGATTCTTTAATGTTCTGTGATCAACAGAGATTTATAGCTTTATTAGGGCATAACTTAAGAAAAAGGCTTTGTTTAGATCTTATACGAGAGCATTATTTAGCTCACTCTATCCTATAGATTACCAAACATCAATGGCTAGTCGATCAATTAATGAACCGATTGCGCCTTAATTTCATTACCAGTTTGGTCAGCCATATGATCATCTCTATGTCATGCCTCTCTTTGAATCGTTTATTTTCAACAACAACAACCCAGTATAATCCCGTAAGTGGGGCCTGGGGAGGTTATGATGTACGCAACCTTACCCCTACCCTGGCAGGGCAGAGAGACTGTTTATTTTCAACACTGGTAAATAATGTTTTTTAATAGGTATCACCGGTAAAGAATTAGGCCTCTAAGGCAATAGAATTCTTTAAAACTACAGGATTCCTGAACCCAACAATTATCACAACACTGATCACAAGTCTCTAATCGACTAAAAGCTCCTAATAAACACTGAACCTCCTGTCAGCATAAACAACAATAACTAAGCCTTAATCCCAAGAATTTGATATTGCTTATAGGATCCTTTAGCTTTCATTTTGTATTACTCTTACCTAAGTCATTATTTATTTTCATGACAACATCCTCCATGTGACTAAAAATCTACATCATCCACTTTTAGCCTTCTCAGTCAGCATAATCGTTGCACCTAGGAAACACTAACATTATGGAGATCTCCATAGCAGAGGTTGAGCTAGAATTTAAAGTTTATGATTTCGGGATTCTAATCCTTTTAAGTTACTGGTTTCTAAAATAATAATTTATATATATTTTATTTTATGGGTTATTTAAGACAAATACATGGTTTGAACCAAAGCTACTTGATTCGACCTAACCTCTAGCTGACACTCTAGCTCCGCCCCTGCTCCGTAGGAAATTCCAACCATCTCAACCTCTGTAGAGGTCGTGGCTTGTGCAATGGGCTAGAAGGAAAAAACGATTGGAAATCGGTCCAAACTTCAGCATACGAATTCACTGGCGGAGAGAGTGAGCTTGAGGGTACAAGGAAATGGTTACCCTACAGGCTACAACAACTAATAAGGTGCGAAGTAGATTAATTTCTTAGTCTCTTATGGTAGTACTATTTTCACTTTACCTTCTTGTTACTCTTACTATTATCATCTTGCTGACACCATATGGACTCAAGCCCAAATCAACCTCTACAAATAAAATGCATATAAATTTTGAAGCTTAAAATGAACACCACAAAACAAAAAAAAACAACTCAATATCCGATTTTGACACCAATTAAACTCAACTCAAGCCTTTAGGTCACAAAGAATTATGTTCCTACAAATTATAAACCAAATAGTTCGTATATGAAAGCAGAAAAATAAAGAAGAAAACAGACAGTTCTTTTTGTCAAACAAAAAGGAGGAACAATTAATTAATGCAAAAAATAAACGTAATAAAATGCCACTAAATCTTACATTACAAGCACCAAAATCAATGTATTGAGGACGAAATTTGAAGCTGGAAACATGATTTCACAAAACAAAAAAAATTAGCAGAATGTAAAAACGCAAACCTGATTTATTGTGTTACGCTAATGGCGCTTGACTGTTCGTACAACCTAACAGGAGGATGGGTTTTATATTTGAGAAATTGAGAGGGAACCAAAAAGTATATATATACCAGTGTGTCCATTTATGACAGGTTCCATACAAAAATTGGTCAATTCATAAAATATTACTAATATTAATCAATTAACTATTTATAACAAAAAAAATTATATTTTTGCTTTCTTTTGAATGAGTGTTATTAGAATAGATTGGGTATACTTAAGGAGCTTGAATCTCAATTTTAGGATTATTTGGTGAAGTTTTGAGGTGTTTTGAATTGAAAATTCGAAATAAAAACTGAACATGAAAAAAAATGATGTGTAGCACACTGTGTATCATTTGTGTATCACATATGTATTATATTTGTATCAATTGTGTATCACATGTGTATCCATGTATACCTATGTGTGATACATGCGTGATACATGTGTCGCAGAATGATTTTTTGAACTCGATTTAATTACGAATTTTAATACAAAACTAGTCCAAATCACCTCCAATCTTCCTCAAATTTTGTATATTGACTTATCTATATGTTTTCAATGAATTTCAATTATACCTATTGAAAAAGTTCCTTTTTTGCTTAGATTTTTGGAATATTGTATATATATATTTTTTGTATTTTATCACCTTATTTGCTACCTTATCCATGAAATTTCTTTTTCGTTTTGCATCTAATATTGCTAATCACGCTTAAAAATATGAAGAGAGATTTTTGCATGTGATTCTTTGAGAAAAAGAACCTTATTTATTTGGTTTTTCAATTTTTATACGTGTTTGGCTAATTTTGATAAATCTATGGCTAATGGCTAAATATTGATAAATTGAGACTTATTTGTGATATTTGTGTAAATTTTCCACCAAAAAATAGGTTCACAATTAGAAGACAATATCTATATATAGCCCCATATAAGCCCAATGGGCATTGAGGAACATAAGTTTAACTGGGCTTAGTCCAAAATACCAGCCCATCTATTCAGGAAATATATTGGGCTTTTAACATATTTGTTGGTCGATCAAAAATAATTACAGCCGCTATATATTTTCTTCTCGAGAAGTTACATAGTTACCCGTTCGGCCAAAAATATCCACAGACCGTATCTCCTATTCGCAGGGCGGAGCTAGAAGCCCTAGTACGTGTTTGGTCTAACTCGGTAATTTTTACTTAAATTATATATTTATATTAAAAAATTCATTAAATATGTATAGATATTAAATGTAAAACTAATTATTATTACTTGAAGTCATCGTTCTAAAATTCAAAACTCATAAAATCGTAATCTTGAATTCGCCTCTACTTATCCAATATATATATATATATATA